ACTTATCTTAGGAAGTAATTAAGTTATATGTGGTTAATTGTTATTAAGGATATTCATTGTTAATACTATATGTTGTTCTAAGTGTTTATTTTTATATGAACTTTAAAATCTTACAATTTTACAATTTTAATCTGTGATTCCAATTTTTTCTAGTTTTTTATTTTACGTAAAATCACGATCTTGACTGCATTACCACTCATACCACATGTTACCACTATGGTATTACCCTGTATCGCTTTCGTTTTCTCGCTCAATTTAAAAAAAAATTGCACAAAAGGAACGAATTCTTTCTGATCTATTGGATCTACAAATTTCTAGGGAAAAACAATTTCAAACTCAAATATGCCAACATGGTATAAGGTAGTAGTCGATGACGAAAAGTGGTAACTAACGTTACCAATTAGTATATTTCTACTATCACGTATTCAATCATTCTACAGTATGATATATTCATACAATCATGATATACTTTCATATCACCATGATAATAAATGTCTCAATTTTCATTCCAAAATACATATGTCATTTTGAAGCACAATTAATGTGATTTTCTATGCAATAAGGTTTCAGTTATGACTCAAAAAGAAAGAGATATAGCTCATTAAATTGAGAAAATATTTAATTTCTTTCATAAACTGAGTGTTATATATGTATTACCCAGAAACCTCAGCCTCACGTGTCACTTTGTGGCAACGGGGCCTACTAAACTTGGGGGCCACCTGCAATCAATTAGACGCCAATGAGACCTCGCCCCCAGAAATCTCATAACTCCGTGAACACCAACAGTCCTCGCTCGGATCGAACCTAAGATCTGCAACTCCCAAACCTTCACTATTGTGGTAGTTTTATCATTAGGCTATCTTACCTTTGGTGTGAGTGTTATATATGACTATGCATAGGATCCGCTCACGTCAATATCTATCTCTATATAAGGATGATAAAGGATATGAAACTCGTGCTTGCAAGGGAAGGGGGATCAATATACCCAATTCTTATACTCAAGGTTGTCTTTTATTGCTATGTTAGATTAGCAAATGTAATTGTTCCACTGGTGGTACAACCAGTTCATGCCGGTTTAAGAAAATATATAGAAACATGAAAAATCATTAATACTAAATAAATTAAACATTTATAAAATATATTTGAAGAGATATTACTTACAATTCATATTCATGTTTAAATAAAATACAACATTCCAAATAAAATAACAAATACTCAAATTTAAATATTTATTTTAATTTTAAAATCTAAGTGTTTATACTTTAATACAACAAATAATATCGAAATTTAACTTTTGAATTCATAAAATAAATAAATGAAGTTTTATTAATTAAATTCACTAAAATAATATCATTTTGCTTAGATGTCGTAAATCGATCATACCAGTAGTGTTTATACCAATTTAATGATCAACATCGATTGAGCTAAATTCAACCGACCGACACTCTACTAGTGTTGTGATCAACAATCGACAAAAAAATTACTCTCATCCTGCAACCTTAATTCCTTCGAATCCTCCACCCTACTACCTCTCATTGGTTGTTCCTATAGGAGTTTTAGGAATAGTAACTTGTATTATTATGAAACCACAAAGGGGTTTATATAGAATACAAGAATTGGACAATAAGTAAACAAACCACAATAATAGTAATACTAAAACGACAAATACTAAGAACTATACTAGAAGGACAAAGAAATATAAGATTATTCCTAATGTATCCCTAACACGCCGCTGCAAGATGATGGTGCGAAGAACAACATCAATCTTGACCAACATAGACCAATCTTGCAGAACACACCCCCGCAATGTGATGGTGTAGAATATGATGCAAACCCGTCAAACTCTCGTAGTTGAAGAGCGAAGCCAACAAACCGTCGTCTTTGAGAAGAAGAAATAATCAAGCTTGCAATTCATATGTTGAAATCAAACTCACTCGCCTTCAAGAATTGACCAGAAATGAGATGAACATTAATCAATTGGCTTTGACGATACCAATAAACATAAACTGGTGTAGGACACGAGGCATTCATCTGAATGACCATTGTCGGAGAAGCTTTCGTCGTTCCATACACGTGAAGAAGACATGGTCGGAGGTTCATCGTGGCTCCGCCATATAATGCTGCAACAATATGAAAATAAGATAAAAACAATAATGCCGGCTTATAAAAACCGGATCTTGATCTCCAAGGGCAAGGCGGAAGTGGTCGATGGACAAAGCACAAAAAATTATCAATTTCGGCAACTGAAAGCAACATTTATGATACTTGAAGGAGCAGTTTTAGGGGAATGGAATCGGACAATGGTCGCTGCTGGGGACGTGGGGCTGGGAAGCAATTAGTAGTGATGGCAATGGGGCGGGGGGCGAGGCGGGTACCTCAATTCCCATGACCCGCCCCATGCTACTACGGGTCGAGGAGGGTAAAATCCGCGCGGGTACGGTGCGAGGCCGATCGACCCACTCTAACATGTTATTTGGAAAAAAAAATAAACGCAAATTTTACTTTTTATGATGAAATGAATGTGAAAACACTTTATGAGTGAAAAATAGTGATAATAGAATGAGTAAATGAGTCTAACAAGTTGAAAGATCGACTCTAACTAGTTGAAGAAAGGTCAAAATATGAGAAATATGTATAAATAATGTAAGAAATTGATATAGAATGTGTTAAGAACGGGGCGGGGCGGGTCAGGTCGGGTAATACCCGCGGGGCGGGTTCAAATTGCCATTACTAGCAATTAGGGATAATGGCTAGGGGTGCGGGACAAGAAACAATTAACATAGGGGTGTTTTTTAATTGAGAGAGGGAAAACAAACTTAGTAGGATTATAGCTACGGGAAAGAAAAAGCAAGATAAAGAACAAGACAGCGGAAGCGAGGAGGGAATTAACCGGGTGAATGGGGACTCATGTCGGGACAAGAAAAGAAAAAAGAGTTTAATGTTTCTGGATCAAGGATGCTAAGCTAGAGACTCTAATACCATATAGAAGTTTTAGAAATAGTAATTTGTAACCTGTATTATTATGAAACCACAAAAGGGTTTATATAGAGTACAAGATTTGGACAATAAGTAAAAGAACCACAATAATTGTAATACTAGATGGATACGAAAATACTAAGAACTATACTAGAAGGAAAAGGAAATATAAAATTATTGCTAATCAACTACCCATTCTCCCCTTTTCCTACCAAAAGTAATTTGATTGCTACATAGAATATGAACACCTCAAATTCCATTAGAACCGAAACTTGGAGAGCGCTGAAATGGAGAGTACGTGGTTTGACATTCGAGCGGTAGCAACCTTGAAATCGAAAAACCTTCTCTTCTTCTCCAATCGTGTGTTCATCCACCAGCAATTTCCTTTCTTGCTAACCACTAGAAACTGTTAAGAGTCATCCCTCGCCGCACACCTGCTTCGGAGAGTCGCGTTGCCGATCTGTTCGTCACCGGTAGAGGTGGCAAATAGATTGGATTGATGAATTGGTGGATTGGATTAGTAGATTTATGGATTAAATAAATTGGTGGATTAATGGATTAGATCATATGAATTGGTAGATTGATCTATAAATCCAAATAACATTAAAGTTTGTGAAAAGTTTGGGTTCTAAAATGTCATAGTAAAAAATTTTAGGTACAAAACGTGATTTTTCAATGCCATTTTTGTATAAAAATAATTTTTTGGTAAAATATAAAATATAGGTACTAAATGTAATTTATCAACAATCCATGAACCCAACAATTCAATTGGATTTGGATCAAATAAATTGGATCAGTTGGATATTTTGGGTAGATGGTTTGGATTGAGAATTGCCACTTCTAGTCACCAGGTAGGAGTGTGCAACAGGTTGGTCCATATCGGATCGCATCGACCAAACCATCACTTGAACTGGACCATACCGAACCAAATATACCATGAGTAGTAGCGAATCCAGGAATTCTACGTAGGGCGGATGTCATTTATAAAAAAATTCAATTAAATTAAATATTAGAATTAAATTAAATAATTATTAAATTTGAAAATATCTAACTAATAAAATTATATTAAAAGTTCATACGTGTTTCTCAAAATGGTAAAATGCATTCGGTGTTTATACTGCTCAACAAATATCTCTCGACATATCTTACTAGACAAGGGTATCCCGTAATTGAGTTTATCGTTAGGTTTTGAAAATAATTTGAGATAAGAATAACATTTTACTATTATATTTGGATCTAAAACACAACAACAAATGAGTTGTAGCGTAATTGAAAATATATTAACAAATAGTGACAGTGTCCCAAGTTTAAATCACATAAACTACTACTTAAATATTATTTGTACCGATATGCAAACTACTACAGAAGGTTGGATAATCATTTTCCCAAATTTTAAAGGTGTCCTACTACCACTTAAACATTTTTTCTCTCATATGCAAACTACTATCGTAGGTTGAATAATCGTGTTTCAAATTTTAGGGGTGTCACACCCCTAAACATGCATGTATCCGCCACTAACCATGATCCGGTCCTTGGTCCCCATGAATTTTATAAAAATAGATCAAAGTGACGTTTGGAGATGACAAAATCATACCAAAGCAAACTGAATGCAATGTAGGTTTGGTCTTTGGTTTTGAGATGACTTTCACTATTGGACTGCAGTTATCATGAGTTTGGTCCTGATCAGACCGAACCATTATGCACTCCTATCGCCAGGAGAAAATGAGCAAACAGTGCACATAGGATAGGAGTTGATTGTTGAACGAAAGAGGCATAACATTCTCAGTGTGTTAAAAACTAGTAAACGACAACGTAATAAGAGAGCGAAAATTAGCCTTTCGGTTGAACCACCGATATTTCGTGAATTGATGATTCTGAACGGTTTTGACTGCAACAACATATCAGTGGTATTCTAACCCATTTCATGATCAATACCAATTAAACCAGGTTTAATTGAGCGACATACCTTGATGTTAGCTTACCACTTCATAATTTTAGTTCATGTGACAAAAAAAAAGACAAAAATGGCTGCCGCCTCGAAAGTGACCCTGAAGCTCTTAGTCGACAAGAAGAGCCACAAAGTACTGTTTGGAGAAGCAGGCAAAGAGTTTGTTGATTTCCTCTTCACCATCCTCTCACTCCCTCTAGGCACCGTGACACGCCTCTTGTCCAAGAAGTACATGGTAGGCTGTCTTGGCAACTTGTACCAGAGCATTGGAGATCTCAACGACACATTCATCCAGCCAACCCTAAACAAACACACCATTCTGAACCCAGAAACCCCAACAACTGGCAGCACCCTTTTGCTTGTCAAGAACCAGTTGATCCCAATAACTTGAGTTGTTGGGAGAGGTTCAATCGTGGATCATATACCACAACACTAACACGCCCCCTCAAACGAAAGCCACTCACAAGGCCTGAAGTTTGCACAGGTCTGAAGACAAGAACACCATGTGCTTAACAAATGGGGGTCACCGGGAATCGAACACAGGACCTCTCGGTCACAGAAGGCTCTGATACCATGTCAAGAACCAGTTGATCCCAATAACTCGAGTTGTTGGGAGAGGTTCAATCGTGGATCATATACCACAACACTAACATTGCTATCCGACGATGGATCTACGCCGACTAGAAATTTCTATACGTGCCAATACTCCCACAGGGTGGTGACTTTTGACCCACTAGCCATGTGTCCGAAATGTTCCTCAACCTCGAGAATGCAGTATGCAGTGGAGCTTGTTGCCTCGCCTGCTAAGAATAATGAAGCGGGTTGGAGTGGTGAAGAAGGAGGTGGGTTTGTGAAAGGGGTGATGACTTACATGGTTATGGACGACTTGGAGGTCAAACCCATGTCAACGATCTGCAGTATCACTCTGCTGAACAAGTTCAACATTCAGGAAGTTGGTGCTCTAGAGGAGATGTTCATCGAGATTGGGATGGATGAGGTGACTGACCCTTTTCGATACGATTAATTTTGGTTACTGGAAATTCCTGGTTTGATCCATTTGAATGGTTTGTGTTCGAATATGACTTGAATTTGATTTGGGTTTGTTTTGTGTTTTGGACCTATTTTGTTTGGGTTTGTGTTTGGGCTTTGTTTGACCTTTTCCTTGTATGTTTGGGAAAAGGTGTTTGGTTTTCTGTTTGGGATTAGGAGAAGAGTTCTATAAATACTCTTCATCACCCTAGTCTGAAGTAAAGTCAGTCGGGTTAGTTTGTTTGGTTTGTCCGTTTGGAATTTGGTTTGTAACCTGTACTCTGCTCAAATTAGTGAAATTTGTCCCCCCTGCCCGTGGATTAGCTAGCACACATTGTGTAAGTGAACCACGTTAAATTTGTGTTCGTTCGTGTTGGTTTGGATTATCGATTGCACGCTTCTATTCTGACAAGTGGTATCAGAGCCTTTGGTTGCGGTTTTGGGAATTTGGCGCTGGACTGAAGTTTTGCTTTGTGGAGGTAGCTTTCAATTCTTCAGTTTGGTTCAGTGGAGGAATCGCTTTGAAGTTGACTTTGGGTAGTTGTGTTTTGGTCTCGCATTTTTGGTGAGAAGTTTTGTTGGAGTTTGTTTGATAGTAAGAATGGCTGCTATCAGTATGGGTTTGATGACATCATCACTGAGGTTGCTGCTGAGAAGACATCTACGGGTTTGCGGTTGAAGCTTGAAAGTCTATACATAACAAAGTCTTTAACCAACAAGTTGCATATGAAGCAACATTTGTTCAGTTTGCGTATGGAGGAAGGTATGTCTCTCAGGAATCATCTAGATCAACTCAATACTATCTTGCTAGATCTGCGGAATATTGATGTTAAAATAGATGATGAGGATGCTGCCTTAATTCTGTTGGTATCTTTGCCACAGTCGTATGAGAATTTTGTGGATTCTTTTATTGCTAGGAAAGATAGTTTGTCTTTGGAAGATGTCAGATCTGCTCTACATACCAGAGAGGTTTGAGATAAGGCGTCTGGTTCAGGTTCGGAAAATTAGGCATCTGGGTTGGCTGCTACCGGTGGTAGGAGACAACAATCTGGTAATAGGAAGGCGAATACAAATTCGAATTCTGCTGGTTTGAAAGATGATATCTGTCATTACTGCAAGGAGAAAGGGCATTGGAAATTTGATTGTCCTAAGCTAAAGAAATATCAGGAGAAGAAGGAATCATATGTTGCTCTAGCGGAAGAAACTAACTCTGATTCTAAAGATGGGTTAGCCTTAGCAGTGAATGAAAAGGTACATCATCAGGATGTGTGGTATTTGGATACTGCAGCTGATTATCATATGTGTCCAAGTAGAGAATGGTTTTCAACTTATGAGCAGATAGATGGAGGACATGTTTCTATGGCCAATGGTGCTGTCTATAAGATTGTTGGAAGAGGCTCCGTCAGGATGAGGACACATGATGGTTCTGTTTGCACCTTGAACAATGTTAGACATATTCCAGAGATGACTAAGAATCTGATATCTTTGAGTCTACTCGACAGTAAGGGTTTCAGTTTCAAAGGTGAAGGTGGAGTGTTGTCTGTCTACAAGGGTTTTAAGGTGATTTTGAAAGGTGCCAAGCGTGGTGCCTTGTATAATCTAAAAGGTTCTATTTTGACATGTTCTATTGGTGATAAGTGCACCAAGCTGGTTCTGAATGGCAAGTCTCAATATGGATTGGACTTGCCGAATGGTTTGAGTTGTTGACCGCCCTTAGGGGCATTTGGAGGCAGGGGAGATTCTGATACAGCTGATTTGGAGAAGTTTGGTACGTCTGACAATTTTGATTGCATCAGAGTTTGGCGATTTGCATCGCGTTTGGTCTGGCGATATGAATCGCATTTGGATATGTCTGGCAATCTTGATTGCATTTGAGTTTGGCGGTTTCGATCGCATTTGGATACGTTTGGCGATATGTATCGCGTCTGGGTAAATCTGGCAACTTTGGTTGCGTTTGGTACATCTGGCAACTATGGTTGCGTCTGATACATCTAGTATTTGACAGAGAATTCAAGTCAAGGTGAAGATTGTTAGAATATGACTTGAATTTGATTTGGGTTTGTTTTGTGTTTTGGGCCTATTTTGTTTGGGTTTGTGTTTGGGCTTTGTTTGACATTTTCCTTGTATGTTTGGGAAAAGGTGTTTGGTTTTCTGTTTGGGATTAGGAGAAGAGTTCTATAAATAGTCTTCATCACCCTAGTCTAAAGTAAGGTTAGTTGGGTTAGTTTGTTTGGTTTGTCTGTTTGAAATTTAGTTTGTAACCTGTACTCTCCTCAAATTAGTGAAATTTGTCCCCCTACCCGTGGATTAGCTAGCACACATTGTGTTAGTGAACCACGTTAAATTTGTGTTCGTTCGTGTTGGTTTAGATTATCAATTGCACGCTTCTGTTCTGACAGTTTGGGAGCTAATAATGATCAGTTAAAATGGGATTGAGTTTGCTTCTTTTGTTTGTTTTTTTGTTTGTTTTAGGGTTTGGATATGTTAAAGGCCTCTCTGCAGTCAAAGACAGTCTGGACGGATGTCTTCCGCGGAGCATCATCAAGCTCTACTTAATCGACGATCAGTTCATCATGGGAGTGTAACTGATAGAACCCGGTGATTAGGGTTCTATCTAGCAATTGGGGTTGATGGGATCAATTAGGAATTGATCTCCTTGTAGCACAAAAAAAGGGGGTGAAAGGGGATTGGATGGGACGAGGAAGAAGGAAGGTGAGGGGAATTGCTTTGGGGTCGTGGGCAGAAGGAGGGATAGGGAGGATTTGTTTCGGCGTGAGGAAGGGAGAGGGGAAGAGAGAGATTTGAGGTGGGAACGAACGAAAAAGGAGGAGGGAAGAGGGCTGCCGCCTGGCGGCTAGTGAGAGGGAGGAAGAGGGAATCGGCAGAGGGAAAGGAGAGAGAGGGAGAGAGGTAATTAGGATTTAGGTTGATTCTGCTTAACCATAAATCTCACGTACAAATAGTTTATATAAAAATGGCTAATTTCCTACTACTACCCGATCTATCAATTATTCCCGAATAGTCCCAATAATCCGAATAATAATAAACCGACAATTAATTAAAGTACGAAAATGCAAGTTTCTATCATCCCCGCTTCCTTCGAAAAACAACTGTGTCTCCAATGTTGTTCCTCTAGCTCACTGGGTCTTCTCCTTGCCATTTTCGACGTTCTCGGCCTCATCTTCTGCTTCATCTTCCCAGCGCCCGACTAACATCATCAGATCCGGCTTCGGGCATTAATGACCGATGGTGAACCGGCCATCACAATTGAAGCAATTGTGCTCCCACCTCTTCTGCTCAATCTCGGTCGGTACGAACCCTTTTGGTATGTCCCCCGGTCCCATCCTAGCCACTGGCGCCATGCCCCCGCCTCCGGCGTTAGCTCCCCCCGCTATTCCCGCCGGCGTTCCTCCACTACTACCACCGGCCCCACTGCTTTCTCCACCTCCGCGCCGCCGCCCGCCGGCGAGTCGCCGCCGCGCTCAGGCCACTGCCCCCTGCGCCGCCGCCGCTGCCCTTCTGTGAGGTTGGTTGTGAAGCGTGCAACACCTCCAAGGCAACCTACACCTCATCGAACCGCCGCCAGAGCCTCCGGGACTCCTTCTCCTGCTCGCGCCTTGCAGCCAGCCTCTCCACGCGCTCCATTTCGAACGCAGCCACCAGGCGATTCAAGGTAGCTCGGATCGCCTCCAGCTTCTCCTTCTCGTCTTCCAGCTCCCCATCCCGCAGATTGAGAACCCCGTGGGAGCCATCACCGGAGGACGGCAGCCCCGTCGTGGCCGCGATCACGGCCTGTTCCTGCGCCGCCGCCTTGGCGGCCTTCTCAGCTGCTTGCATGGACTTTGTTGACACCATCTCGATCGTCGTTCTTCGATTGCTCACGAACCCGAGAACGGGGCTCTGATATCAAATGATAGAACCCGGTGATTAGGTTTCTATCTAGCAATTGGGGTTGATGAGATCAACTAGGAATTAATATCCTTGTAGCAAAAAAAAAAGGGGGTGAAGGGGGATTGGATGGGACGAGGAGGAAGGAAGGGGAGGGGAATTGCTTTGGGGGTCGTGGACAGAAGGAGGGATAGGGAGGATTTGTTTAGGCGTGAGGTAGGGAGAGGGGAAGAGAGAGATTTGAGGTGGGAACGAAGGAAGAAGGAGGAGGGAAGGGGGCTGTCGCCTGGCGTCTAGTGAGAGGGAGGAAGACGGAATCGGCAGAGGGAAAGGAGAGAGAGGGAGAGAGGTAATTAGGATTTAGGTTTATTCTGCTTAACCATAAATCTCACGTACAAGTAGTTTATATAAAAATAGCTAATTTACTACTACTACCCGATCTATCAATTATTCCCGAATAGTCCCAATAATCCGAATAATAATAACCGACAATTAATTAAAGTACTAAAATGCAAGTTTCTATCATCCCCGCTTCCTTCGAAAAACAACTGTGTCCCCAATGTTGTTCCTCTAGCTCACGGGGTCTCCTCCTCGCCATTTTCGACGTTCTCGGCCTCATCTTCTGCTTCATCTTCCCAGCGCCCGACTAACATCTTCAGATCCGGCTTCGGGCATTGATGACCGATGGTGAACCGACCATCACAATTGAAGCACTGGTCCTCCCGCCTCTTCTGCTCAATCTCGGTCGGCACGAACCCTTTTGGTATGGCCCGCGGTCCCATCCTAGCCACTGGCGCCATGCCCCCGCCTCCGGCGTTAGCTCCCCCCGCTATTCCCGCCGGCGTTCCTCCACTACTACCACCGGCCCCACTGCTTTCTCCACCTCCACTCGACTTCTGGTAACGGCCTATGGAGTTCCTCCAGCTGGCAAGTTCCTCCTCTTTATGACCTGCAAGACGAAAAGCAGCTTTCAAGGAATCTGGCTCGAACACTATGACCGCTGCTGCTATCTCAGCCTTGAGGCCCGCCATGCACAGCCCCACCAATATGTCCTACGGAACTCCCTTGCACCGGTTCCCCAGCTTGAAGAACTCAGCGCGGTATTCG